TGGGGGCATTAAAGTTTGATAAAAAAAAGGACATTGCTACATCACAGTTAAACAGACAGCCACATTCACCTTGGATATCCCGGATATCAGCGTAATGCCTTTCACTCTCCACTATCAGAATGACTTCTTACGTTTCAGTTCTATCCAGACAGCAGTCATCAGGAACTGACTGGAAATAGAAACTGCTTTTCATCGTCCTCACACTCTGAATTCCTGCAAAGTTTCTCTTTGACTGAACAAATAGGGTTTTCATCCCATCAGATGAAGAAAAAGGTTTCCTTGGAATATGGATGGCGACGATTTACTTAGGTAGAATAATATCAAATGATGGAAGGGTTATTTGTTTTGCATCGAGTAAAAAGAATAGTTGTGAGTTCTGATGTTGAACTGCGGCATAAGTCAGTTGCAGCTTTATAGTAACAGCCTTTAACTTCTAACATGGGGTTGTTGCCAAAAATCTTGGTGACATTTTATCCTCTTTTCCTGTTTAATTTACAAACCAACAAAAGAAAAATAAAAGAATAAAAACAACTGTTTTGGCAGAGTTCTTAATTGTAAATCTTTGTTTTTTCTGACTAACCTGGAAAGTCTGGATCCCTTTTAATGTCTTTAAGCATTTCAGAAAACTAATGAAAGAGCCAATTGTCTTTACTCGCGTTCATGAATACTGAAGTCTATTATTCCCGCTCTGTGAGACGTGCCCACATTTATTAGCCTTTTTAGAAAATGGACCAAAATATTTCCAGACAGGTGTGAAAATACTCTTTTCTGGTTGTTTGCTTGACTTTGTTTTTCTAATAAAAGACCGTTCGCCAAGAACATATCTGCTCCCCTGTGCTGTCATCTGAGCTGTAAACACTATTAGATAAAGCCGCAGCGCCGTAGCAATTCACACAGCAGCAGGACCACGATGATAAATAAGTTTAACGGACATTTGCTTGAGGACAGAGACAGAGGAGAAAAGGGGATGGTGTATTCATCCAGCAAAACTGATCTTAATGAGAGCTGCATGTAGAAGAGGATAAGCCGCACTCTTCACCTTACATACCGAGACCTTGGCTGCTGAGACGGCTTCATTAAGCCCACCAGGCTATGGACTGTCACTCCTGAAAACGGGCAAGGCGGCCAAAGGAATGGGAAACAACAACACAGTAATAACGTTGACATTTACAATAGGCGTCGGGTATCATATCCAATTTCTCCCTGCACACTCTTAATTCCTTTTTAATTGCTTTTCCATGTTGGTTCCGGGATAAGGCTGTCTCTCTTCATTTATGAAAATGGAGAGATGGGGACGGTGAATGTGTGTGTGCGTGTTTATACAGACAGCTGATGTGTGTGCGGGTGTGAGTGGATGAGGGGTTGTAGGTATCGGATACTAAAGTGGGGGTGTTGAACGGAAGGCTGATATAGTTGTTGTCTGCTTCAAGACAAATCCAAAGACTCGTGAGAAAAACTTAGATTAAAACTATAAATCTGCCTAAAATCTGAATTGAAGGATTAGCATATAGACTTTGGGGTAAATAACATGGTATCATGCCACTGAATGCACATGTTTAGAATTTCAGACGTTCAATTTAGTGGCTGAATCATGGACCTAAAGACACCAGAAATACTATGATATGTTTTCCAAGACTAAAGCAATGGATGTACCACTAATGAACATAAATTGATATAACTGGGCAACATTTAAGGGCCAGAATCTGGCCATTTTTTGCACTTTGTAAAGTAAGCTATAGTCTAATACCATTTCTATGCCTGTAGAAGTTAGTTTAGATACTGAAAACGGAGGAAAAGTGCTTGCTGCTGCCTGTGTGGTTTTGTCCAAAGGTGGCAGCCAACTAGCTGTTCCACTGCTGCTGTAACAATGACACAATCAGTGTCTGACAGCTGTGGACCATCTATTCCCAGATTTGTGCTTGTTGTTGGGCTTTGTTGATCTGATTGGTTTAAAATAGATTTTCATAGACATAATGAATACATCTAAAACTTCTGTTTCCAAACAGTTGTTCCGGCAGCCTGTTTAAATTATTTTGTGTAACAGGTTAAATACTACCCTCAAATGGCTGAAAAGAGAACCATTTCTCAGTTTTTTTTTTTACTTACAATAAAAACATAAAGTAAAACTAACTATGACTAATGCTAAACTTTGGATATTACACAATATCCACAAAGAGGAAACTTAATCCGTTGTCATTTGGTATCTATTTCTTATCATATTTCCAATAACGTGTTTTGTTATTGCTTGACTGCACTTAGAAACCATATTTTGACCGGAACAGTTTACTATTTGGATGGCAATTACTTAAGCCAACTTAAGATGAGGCTTAAAACCGATCCTTCCGAAGTTGGCTGCCCCACAGTTGTGAAACGTACAGACGAATCTAGAAAATGGGAAACTGTTGATATTTTGAGGGCATCTTCTACCTCAAAAGAACTTAGTTGGAAATGGAACATGAAAGATGAAAAATGCAGCAGTTTTGTAGTGTGTTTTAAAGACTGAGCAGTAAACAACATCAATCAGGCATCAGGACCATCACGCTGGTGGCTGACTGACGGCACAGCCCGCTGCACCACATAACTTGGCAACCCTGGAGTTACTTTTATCCAGCAGAGTGTGTGGTGGTTAATCAAAGCCCATAATTTCCATAATTCATGGATGCCCATCTGTTTGCCACCTACTCCCATGCCCAGTGCAGAATAAACAAATTCAGGAGAGGGGCCAAGGGGCTATTTAATGACAGCATCAGCCATGGCTTACACACACCGCCGAGGACACATACACCAGGCACACACAACAAAGTCTAATCAATCATCTGGCTCGAACTATAATTCATTCTAAACACAATTGTTTAATCCATCTATGATGCAATATTTGCTTCATAATTCACACTCTGAGGTAAACAAATTGGATTTTGGAGGTGTGTAGTCAACGCGATCGTCCCGCGCCTTTAGAGGACTCTCGCATGGACTCTCTGATCTCCATCCAGACAGTTTCTCACTAAAGTCTCATCACACTCTGGCATTATACAGGTTTTCTTAGTGTCTTCAGATAAAATCATACTGCTTTGATGTAATTGCAAGTCCTGCACAGCTCTGTGATTGAATCAGCACAGCTCAGGATTGAGACACAGGCTGAAACAGAAGCTGGGTGTGCATTTGTAATATAAATCAGGGGAGATCCGGTTCACTGAGAAAAATTAAAGGTTGAAAATGCTATGAAACTGTTATTATTCTATTCACAAGTTTTGCATGTATTTTTTTCATTTTGTGATAAATTCTTTATTCTGGGGGACCTGTCGTGATCAGAATTTTTTTCTTACTTTCCATCTCATTTGGAATAAAAAACACTGGGGTCACGTAACAATAGCTCCAATTTCAGTCATGCGTGCTTAAAAATAAAGGATAACGCTGAAAGCTGAGTTTCCAGTTCATATCCTGCCAGCAAAAAGTGTTGTAGATGAAAACATTTTTCCCTTTTCTCCATATTTCTGTATGAAAATCACTCAGGCAGAACTAATGAACAACACAATGGAAGGGTACTACACAAGTTCTTAGAAATAAAGTTAATAAACTTTATGACATCGAATCTTTGAATATTATCTGGTGTGAAAGGGTCATAGATGTAATCAGAGCCCTTCTGACCTATTGCTGATCTCCACTTTAAAGCTTTAAAGCTTGAATCCACAGGGGAGACTGAAGGACAAATGACTTTCCACACTGGGAACATCTGGTGTGGTGGCCAAAGTTCTGCAACTCTGTATTACCACAAGAGTTCGCACAAACTTGAAATAAATCTAAAATGGGCTCTTTTGTGAGAACCCTTCATTCCGGTCACTCTGCAGTGCCCTGCCTGTCTTTCAAAACAAAGCTGGCTGCTTGGCCAGAGAGTGGGGAGTCATTCTGACAGATGCTCGTCTTTTGAAGTGCAGGCAAAGAGGCTATTGTGACTCCGCATCCTGCAATACAGAAACATATTAAAACTTAAATAGTTTCTGCCCTTCACAGATTGAGAGGGGTCACCTGTGCTTTTATCTTATCTTGTGCACAGCATACTGTTCAGGAGGTAGCCGTGTCTTTTTCCAGCTGTGCGCTAGATAGAACAAAATCTTCATTCTACCTCAGTGTAGAACAGCCCATATAGATTCTGATCCGTTTAATTTCACCTGACCATCCATCACTACCATGGCAATGTGGCCCACAGCCTCAGGGCCCCGGGTCTCCAGGGGCCCCATAAGCCCCAGGTTTACCGTGTGCCAGCTGGGCTTTGGTAATTGACAGATAGCTAAATCCTTTCCCCTGGCCTGAACACCAATTGTCCACTCTGTACCATAGACACAGCAGCCTTCACAAACTATATTTTCTTTAGGTTCTTCGTATGGTACAGTGCTTCATGTATTATCCAATAGTTTCCTTGTTTAAGTTACTTTAGAGATCAATTAAACTTGTAGGACATTGAGAAAAATCTGATATTTTCTAACGAAAACTTCGAAAAGATTGTTGTTAAATAGTTTAAATGATGTAAATGACTAAATGACAGTTTCAGAATGAAGATGAATCAAATTCTCTTCAGGTTTCAGTCTCATTTATGGGTAAAAAAAAACATTTTTTTTGTATCTATTGGTAACTACCATGGTAACATTGTATTCATATTTCATAATGGTCCAGGGAACACTCGCAAAATGAAAGCTGGTGATTTCTGTTGGAGGAAAAAAACATATTTTCCAGCAAATAAATGTAATTGAAAATGTATGATGATGGATGTATCAGCAGAATAAAAATGGTGTAATAACAGAAGGCTTTCATTCCGAAGATCCAATCACATTTTACTGTCATGTAATGAGCGCTTGATTTTATTCCTTGTTTGGTTTATGACCCCAAACTAGTATACCTGGTTATGTTTAGGTGTGGACAACTATAATCAACAGATTACGATTTTAAAATCTCATCTAGACATTTAGACAAAAGTGGAAGAAATAACACAAGAATAAGCACAGTAGTCAGTATTGCAGAGCAGTTTATTGATTTCTGGTATGTTTTAAATACTTTTGATTACTTCTTTACACGTTTTACATAACTCTTGAATTTGCTTCTTAACCAAAACATATAGTACCTGAACTCAAAAAGAAGGAATTGGATACATTTTGACAGATAAAAAAATACATTAGGTGACTTTGTAGGTAGACAATACAAAATTATAATAAGATTCTGAATATTCCACATTTTTCTTAAGAGTTTATGCAACTTTTTGAGGTTAAAAGCACAGTTTATCCAAGAGTACAACAGTGAATTAGTGATGTAAACACTTTGAGTGGTGTTTCAAGACCAGAACTATGCTACAAAGTCATGACCTCAACCAATTTCTAGATTTTGCTCTCATAATGTGCGAAATACATGAGACACAAAGAGGACATGTTTCTTCACTATAGATTAATCACATATTTTGCTTTTGTAGCTTTGTGCTCTGGAGCCAACGCAACAGCTCATCAAACTGTTTAAGTCTCTCTGAGAGCAAACATTTTATTCAACTTGAGACATTGTGAAAAGCATTTATCCATAATTACATTCTGTCTTTTCTGTCTGGGCAATTCCATGCCTCACAATATCCCTGAGCCACAGCGTTTTTCAAATAGCTTTTAAAACCTCTGGATGGCTGTTTCCATGATGGCTCCATCATCTCATTTGTTTATGCACGATCACTGAAAAGCGCCATTGATGGCTCAACGGAAGCCAATTACAGACAATGTCCTTACACTTGAAACGGGAGGGAAATGATACAACAAGTACTGATGGTTAACTTGTCATGTTTCAACACAGCACAAATGTCTTTTGCATTCTATAAGTATCATTTTTTGCTAAAGTAAAAAAAAAAACACAAAGAAAAGTACTAAAAAGGCATAAAAATAATGAGTTCTTACCATTTTCTGCAAAGCTCATCCATCATTACAAGTCAACAAAGGCAAAGAAGGGATAAAATCATATCTGTGGTAGCTACTAATTGGGAGTCAAAATAGACTAAGCACAAATTAGCATGCACTAAATGTCTATCAACTGGCACTCTGCATAATATATCAGACTTCAATCTACAGTAAAAATAGTCCAAAGACTGATGTGATATGTAGACAGATTTTTTTTCTCCACAGTAAGGCATGCCATTATTCAAAACTCTCTGTCAGCTACGGCTGCGATTCCTTTGTTAAAGTCTGGAACAGCTGAGATTGTTACCATAACGATAACACTGCAATTCTCTGTCACTGAACCGTTACAGAAAGGTCTCACAAAAGTTGTGTTGAGAATGTGTGTTTCTGCACTACTAAGCAAGATGAGGATGGAGCTCACTTTGTTATTATATATTCACAGCACAAACACGGGTGTCTTCACATGGGCCCCAATAACATTTCCAGCTTGTCAAATAAAGTAATTGTAAAGAGTGTGGTTGTTTATTACACAGGGGGGTAAAAAAACGGCAAGGAAACTTTAGGTTTGTGGACAAATAGAAAAGATTTATAGCTGCACAGATTACAACAGCGCTGAAACTGCAGAATGGCCTCCTGGTAGCATGGTTCAAACGGGCCTGAGTAGAGCAGATGGAAAGTTATAAACACGAAAAACCTTTAAGAATACCTACAAAGTGGTTGCTTTGGACCAGCGTAGTGGTTAAATATTTTACCAGGCAGATAGATTAACCACTTAAATAACAAACATGATTTCATGGAGGCTTTGGGTTGTAAACGGGAAGTGTTGGCTTTTATATTTAGGGGGAAAATGCTTCCAATAAACTAAGCTCTGTACCAGTTTGAAAACATGTTGGTAGTGTTGTGTAGTATCAATAGTATTAACATAAAAGTGAGTAATCTCTAAGGGTCGGTCAATATTTTTTTCCTTGCAAACAGCCTGTTTTTTGACTCACCCAATACTTTATGACAAGCCAAAATATGCCGTTGGTACTTGAAACAAGCTGGAGCCCACGTATAATTAAAAAATAAGTACATTCATCTAACTACAGTATTTGTTTCCATACACAGGCTTTGGTTCATATGAGACATCTTTAGTTTGTTAAAATGTTCAAAAATCAAATGAAAAAACATTAGTGGCACCTTTATAGACTGAAAGCTAAAGTGCTGAGGCTTTGTTACAAAACAATACACACAGTCAAATATGACTACCAACGTATATGAATACAGAGTCGTCACATCAGCTAAGATGCAGAGTTACTTTCACACACTTGCCTGGATAATATATGTTTTGTCTCCACCCAGTGGTCACAATGTTCACACTGCATTTTTTTTATGCTTGATTTAAAGTTCAGACTTAAAAGCGTTTTTGTTCATTCATTCACTCACTTTTCAGAATTTCTCCAACTGCCCATCAAATCTGCTTTAAACTCCCCTGTGTTATTTAGTTTATGAGGAGGTGTCCATTGTTCACTCAACATACTGAGGTTAATTTGTTTCGCATTCATCATGTAGAAAAAAAAAGAAAAAGAAAAAAGAATTGACCCAAAGTTGAGCTATGACATCAATTATCATTACTAGGTTTCACCTGAATTGGTGCAAAGCATTTAATCAAATACATATGGCGCATAGTATTCAGAAGCTACCTTGAGTTCTATCACATCATTACATTTTTTTGACATCTGGTTTTAAAACACCAGAGTAAGGCAATCAGATATGGCTATGGTTATAGCACAGGTGTGGTGTCTGTTTGTGCATGCTCATGCATTCATTTTTTTTGTGTATGTATACAAGTACATAAGTCCAAACTCCTGGAACACTTTCACCGTTTACAGCACAAAAATATGCTTTATAATGGTGAGTCCCCCCGGTACCGTCGCCTCCAGCATCCATATGCCTACAGAACAGATCTGCTGGCTTATAGGTATGTAGCAGCTCCTGCTTGTCAGGGATTCAAAAAGAATTGCCAATCTCTCAGAGTTCAGGGAGCTTTTTTATCTCGTATCCTAATAGATGTTGACATCAGTTTACACTTCATTCCCGATGGGATGGGGACAGTGCAGGAAACATGGCAAAAAGACTTCTTGTCAGATTTTCCTTGTTTTTTGTTTGTCTTTTTAAATAGAAGTGCCAACTCAGTGCAGAGGTAAAAAAAACAATCTCAAGCGCTTTCTGGAGTTATTTCCAGGGCTTCTCCAAGTGTAGAACCATGCCCGCTAATAACCAACCCGGCTGTTTCTCTGGACAGTCTGGGGTCAAACGTAGATGCCCTCTGGGTTGAGGCTGGAGCAGACGGAGCTCTGCAGAGCGCGGAGGTCACTGGGTAGGAGTCTGGAAGAACCGGGTCGTTTCAGAGAGCCACCCTCCATTTCTGCGGTGAAACAACAACAACGGCTTTGTGTGAATGCGTTCAGTAGCTGTTCAGCACAGCTGCGACAGAGATCCACCCAAAACAGTAAAGCCGCTGCATGGAAAACAAACACATTTTGCTCTTCCTGTGAAAGACGCAGGATTGCAGAGCAGCTAATAATGTATGTAATGAGGTCAGACTGTGTCAACAACCTGGTCCCATCAACAATGTGTTGTTCCTATAATGACCACAGGGTGGCACTGTGTCCATACAGGCGTGATGACACCATGAGGACAACACACAGGCAAAAAAGGAGGCGACGAGCAGTGAAACGAATCTCTCCGACACACTGATGATGTGTGTGTGTGTTTGTATGTGTGTGTGTGTATGTGTGTGTGTGTGTATGTGTGTGTGTGTGTACGTGAGGCCTGACTGTGCGCGTACCGCTGTTCTCTTCCGTGGGCTGGGCGGGCAGCACGGTGACCTTGGTGCCGGTCTGCTGAATGAACTGCTGCAGGTTGACCTGTCGGAGCTCTTTGGTCAGCTGCTCCAGCTCCTGCTCCTTCTCCTGCAACGTAAAAACGCAGCGTGACCACAAAATGAGGCCTGTAGCTTAGCTGATATTAAAGGTTGGGAACAGGAATACGCTCTGCCACCTTCCGAAGTCTCCCTCACACCTCTCTGAAAGTCCTCTGCTTTGCAGACATGAATTATTTCAGCTGCTGCACTCTCATTTCCAGCTCCTTCAGTCTCTAAACTTTAACTGAGGTCAATTAATAAGTAAAAATGCAAAGGGATCGTGTTCTGCTCAAGATCCCTAAAGTCATAACCAAGCTGGGGCAGCTCAGGGAAGCAGTTAGCTCCACCATGGTTACGCAACTACGGGGAATGGATTGCGTACTTATTAAAGCCCTCTAATCAGGCAAAGAATGTTGTTAATACCCTCCCTTCTCCTTTTCATTACCTCATACTAGCTGCCATTTAATGGATTCTGCCTATATATACACAACTTGAGTTCATACAAGGATGCATGGAGGAAAGGATTAACTAGAACTGGAAGTGAAACTTTGCAGGTCACCCTTAGAATAGCTTCGTTTTTCAATGGCTCCGTGTGTGTGCAGACTACTGACTTTTGGCACACACACACCATAGTTTAAGCCAAACGTTTTGAAGCTGTAAACATTCGACTAGGGAGCTGACCTGTAGCCTCTTGCCTGACTGGCAAAGCGAGCGCTCCAACGCCCTGCAGCTGCTCTCCAGCCGGGCCGTTTGTTGGCTTTGCATTTCCAACTCTGCCCTCACTTTCTCCAGCTGGGCCTGCACCTGAAATCCAGAGCGGAACCCCATCAGAGCTTGTACAGTGAAACCAATTTGCAGGAGAGCTTTACGAGGAGATTTTTATTCCATTGTGCAATGAAACACCTGCTTATTAAAGTTTATGCTTTCCTCTCCTATTAGAGTGGGGTTGTTATTGATCTAAGCTGTTTTGGGGGAGATTTGCAGCTTAACGTTGAACTATAACATCAAAATGAGCTTGTGATGCTTTATTTCATCTTATTGATTTTTTGACTTTGTATATGTTTGTGAACGGACAAGAGGTGTACGGCAGTGAGGCTCTTCCGTTCTCTACAGATCAACAAGACATTCCACTTCGTTTGTAGGCGGCTGTTTAGAAAATGAAGATAAACTGGGAAGTACCTCCTCCTCCTTGATCTTTTTGTTTAGCTCGGCCTCCTGCTGCAGTTGCTCCTGTTCCAGGCCCGTCTCCATGTTCTGGCACAACAAATGTGATTAACACTTCATAGACTGAGTAAAACAATGCAATCGTTTCGCTTCTTTGCGATGCCAGGCTCACCTGGATGCGGGCTAAGTACTCCAGGAGCTTGGCTTCGCAGTCTCGCACGTGGCCCTGCAGCTCCGCCAGTTGTCGGCGCAGCTGCCGCTCGCTCTCCTGCTCGATCTGGAGCTCGTTCTGCCAGAACTCTTCCTCCTCCATCTCAGCATCGTTCCTCCTCACCTGCTGCTCCAAAAGCAGCAGCTCGTCCTCAAAGTTTCCATTCTGCGGATCAGAAATTGCTCGGAAATAACCGAAATTGCAGGATGAAGGGATGATGCCAGGAGGTAAAAATGAATCTGGAACATAGTTTTTCTGCAGATGGGCGGTGTGGGGGGGGCACTGACAGCTGCGTGTTCACTCACTTCGCTGAACTCGACGCCGGCCTCCTCCCAGTCTCGCAGCTCCACCTCGCAGCCCAGCAGCCGGCTCTCCAGAGCCTGGAGCTTGTCTCTCTGCAGCTGCACCAGGCGGCTCAGCTCTCTGGCTGGACTTCCAGGTACAGATGCTGTTCCGCTGCCTCCGACCCTGCTCAGGTTCAAGCTCACCCCGCGCTGCTGGGTCTGCTTGCCTGGGAGAACAGATGAAGGATTAAAGAATCTACAGAATTCTTCCAGAAAAAAAAAAGTCCTCCAGAAATGAACGCACTACCTTCAGTTTCTCTGCTTTTCCCAAATATTTCCCGCAAACCCCTGGCCCCCCCTGTGAAGGTCAGAGATTTGCGTTTGGGCTCCTTTCGCTTGAGGGAGCGGTCCGTGCCTGCGGACCGGAGCTTGGCCAGAGGGGGGAGGCTCTGGCGGTAGAGCCCGCGCTCCGGGACGCGAGGCAGCCCCTCGGACATGGGCCTGTCGCTGACAGAAGGCCCGGTCCGCTGGAGGATGAGCTGCACGTCGCTGGCATACTGACCCCACTTGTTGAGGGACACCACGGGGTTTTCATGCGGAGCCAGGTGGCGCTCCGTTTCTCGCCATTTCTCGATCAACGTGTATCTGCCAGTTCGTCCTGGAACAAAACAAAAGCCTAGATTTCACCTAAAAAGTTCCTGGTCTCGAGTTCTAAGAAAACCAGAGACAAGATGGACCTGATTGGGTCCTTGTTGCTAGTAAAATAGTAAAAACTCAATCTCAGTTTAGTTCTAGTATTTCTTTTTGGTTTTGTTTTGTTTATAACACTGCCCTAACTCAAGGGGTGAGCCAGTTATGTTAACATACAAGCAACAATCTAGAAATTTCACCTCTTTAGGCAGTCTGTCACAAAGATCCATTGTTTTGTGGGCTTTAGACTGTCCTGGTGTGGACTGGAATTTAGAGCAAAGAATTCTTAAGTCCACTGAAATGTATCAGTTCCACTAACAGCAGAGCAGCCTGAGAACCACCATAATTACCAGTTATTACAGTGTCCTGGAAGTTGAACACGTCACCTTTAAACACCTATAGGACAAATCAGCCGTTGCATCATCTAATCATGAAGCTCTCCCTGAAATAGCTTTGTTTTTATCTTGTGGTCAGCTGTAAACAGGTCAGTTTACTGTTGAAGGCCAAACGGTGTTGCAGCAGCCGGTTTGTATCTTGAGCCAGACCTGTGGCTTAGCTTCCAACAAGTTGAAAGGTATAAAGAAGACCGAGCTGATGATCTAAGACTCTAAAATTCACTAAGATAAATCCCTGCGCTGTGTGAATCTACAATTCCCCAGAGATCTCCTTTGAGCCTCTTTGTTCTGAGTTTTGGAGCTGCCTAAAAGGCTTGTTTCATGTTTTTACAGAGAAACTAGCAGCAGCAGTCAATCATGACCACTAAAAAGAGGCTCCCAGTCAAGTCAAACTGCTTTTTTCTTTATCTCAGAGAAACACTGAGTTCATAATTTGAGCATTTAAATTGTGTGTAATATTTAAAAACATACAATAATAAATTAAACAAATATAAAATGGAAAACCCAGAACTGATGTTATGTCTACTCTAAATGTGTTAGACCTGAGTTCTGAACAAGGGAGGTGGCATTTGTTTGAAAAAGAGTTTGATATGCCCGTAGTAAAAAAACTAAAAAACATTCTCTTTCCACTCTCCCACCTTCGTGAACCCCTGGCAGATTGAAAGAGCTCCACCAGCGCGTTGGGTGAAAGAGCTTTACGGTGGGAAAACTCAACTCAACAAGCAGCGATTGTTTTGGCCAAAGGTTCAATGGTTCACATTTTTTTGTCAGACTGTGTACTCCCGCGTTTCAGTCTGTGCACATGTAGATAAGAGCAAAACACAGCTTTTTTTTCACCCACAAAGCCCCATCTTGCACAGTAAGGGTCCTTGTAAAAGAAGAAAAAGAGAGACACATTCATCACTACAGCCATTTAAATCAAAGTGCCCTGACCTACACAAAAGGCACCGTGGACACAAAGGACAGTGAACGCCACAATTCCTGCTGTGCTGTCACTCTAACGGGCATGTGCTTTAGCCTTAATCCATTTACAGGGAAAGCAGAACCGCATTCATAAATCAGTCCTTTTTCATATGGCATGTATCAATTTGAAGAAACGACAATCTCGAATTTACAAATCGCAAAACATGTTACACAATATCTGCAACTGCACAGCACATGTCAATAAGCCAGACGCTGCAGTATGACTCATCTCATTAGGTTGTGGGTGAAAATCTTTGTGCCCGCTTGTCACTTTTCATTTTAATGCAGTTTATCACCTGGAGCCTGTCTGACATCTCCCCCCACCAATGCTGAACACAACCAGAACTCCAAATATCAGAACATCCCCCGCAGGGAGACCAAAATGTATCTATACAGTTTGATCAAGGATATATTAACTTAGCCTGAGTCTGTGTTTCCCATCAAATGAGCAATAATTATTGTTCCGTTGCTCTGCCTCTTGTGAGAGGTGAATTTCATACTTTTTGCTGCTGTTGCTGCTACTATCTCATAACTTACCGATGGCTTGTGCCAAAGCTATGACCACTTCCTGGCATGTGGTGAACTCTGTGACTCCGCATACGATGCGCTGAACTCCGTCCACCCACACTTTCAGCTCCATGGCCTTCATCCAGAGCCCCTCATTCCTCCACACCACAAGGGGGAGCCATCAGCGTGTCACCTTCCTTAAAAGGCGAAAATGAAAAAAAGTGTTAAATCCAAATTTTAGGGTATTTTTTTCAGAATTTGTTAAACAATCATGGTAAAAATCCAATGATCGTTTTCTTTCTTTAAATCAACACGATTACTCCACAGTCAAATTTGTACAATCTTTTTTATTCTTTTTTTTTTTAATTAAAAAAAACATTATTAAAGAACACAACCCCATAAGTCTTCAGTCCCAAATCACCAAATGATGTCCCATTTATGGCTTCCCAGCTGATACGGATTCAGTCCAGTGTTTTCCATCGACCGGCTGTCAGACGAAGAATCAGATCAGTTTTCGGTGAAATGGCTCTGACAAGTCCACTGTGCACCGCCAGCCTTACACGGGGGACAATTTAGCTAAAGCAACAGACAGCTCCCTTAAGACCGTCTGTAGACTGACACTCATTGCATCAGACAAGCACAAACCCGACTCAGAGTTTCCCTCACTGCTGCTCGGTGTCCACTAAAAAAAGACTTTAGCATTCAAACATTAAAGGCCCTCAAATTGTTTGTCCCTCACAGATTAACGAGTGTAGTAAATCCAAACTGTAACGTCCTTACGAGACAGCTCCAGCTGAACCCGTCTGTGTTCAGGTATTCCCATTCATGGCTTTACAGTTACAGGATGGATGGAAACAGCTAAAGCCCGATGTAAACACTTGATCTCTTGTTCCTCATAACGCTGCTGATGAATTACCGCGAGAGCTTTCTCTGGTGGCGCAGCCACTGCGACCGTGCAATAGAACTCTTCCAATATACTTTTTATTTGCCGGTGTTCAGAGCCGGAGAGCGGAATGAGAGCCATTTCAAAGTGCTGACACAAGCGCCTCGGCGGTGAGGCAGCCATTAGGAACCTGGCAAGGCCTAAACAGCAGCCTGAGCAACAAAGCCGTGACAGAGCAGGTGCCTAATGCTCAGTTTCTCAACCCTAGTGGGCTGAAGGGGACGTTTTTTTTCCCTGAGTGGGTCGTCAGCTCTGCGCCGATTCTATAGTTCCATTTCACTTGATATGTAATTTAGGCACTTTCCATCTTTGTCACAGCTGGAATGGGACTCCCATCCCTCCTGCTGTTTAATTACTCGTATCCCTGCAGATTTAGCTCTGCCGTGGCTGCATCTGTGGTGAAGGCATCTGGTGTGGGTGAAATGTGCACTTCATTTACATGTTTGTTGTGGTTAAAAGAGTTAAAAGTGTAAGAAAAGAACTAACTGAGGTCCTTTGTGCTGACAGAGTAAAGAATCCTTCCCTCATCCGCCCACTTAACGGAGCTGGAGCTGCAGTGCAGGAGCTGGGCTCTGCCATCAGAGAGAAATTTGAGTTCACCCAGTTTCCCGGCCATACTTTGGTATGTAGGGGGGGGGGGTGCAGGAAATCCAGCCACCAACCCGGCAATTAGAGCTTAAGCTGCTTCACCACCTGAGCCACGGCCGTCCAAGGTGAAAGCTTACAGGGACAGATGGACGGACGGAACCAGGCAGGTGCTCCATGTAGAAGAATCAGGACAGGAAGGGCGGAGCTAACGGAGCAGAACCGCTCACAGAAACGGCCAACGTGTTTCTGTCTCAATGGCCCGACAGATGTGGAGGACGCCCTGAAATTTTCACAACTGGGGCTCAGAAATGGCGGCTTAGTGATTATTATGACATGTAATATCAAAATCCACCTGAGCAGAAGCCAGCTGCCACACTAAACGGGAATATGACGGGACTTTTGTGTTGTGCTTTTGCACGTCAACAATGAGGATTTCACCTAAGGAAATTCACTCTGACAATCTACATTCAGAACCAAATGAGTTACAGAAACGTAATCCCATATCAGCACGGTGTTTACATCGGCTTCCCTCATTCACTGAGTGAGGATCCATTAACAGGATGCTCTGGTTCTGCCCACATCGCTGCCCACCGGCAGAGACCTGCGCCCACATGCTATTAAGTGACTTTCTTTTATCCTCCCCTCGTCTGCTTCTCATGCCAACCTTTCCCCGTGGCTTTTGTAAAACGCCCCAACGTGCAAGTAGCTGGGATTTGTTCCTTCTGTCATCTAAGCTGAACACACAGGCTATCTGATCACACCTTTCTTAGGAGAATCAAAAGAGAAATCCCCGGCTGTCACATTCATGGTCAAATGAAACCAGAAAAAAAAACACTTCTTTAGGAGGAACTTAGATCACTGGCTGCTGAACTACAAGATTAGGATTCACCTAAACTGTCCTCTAAAATATCCATTTTATTATACAAACGTATTATACTTCATGCATTTGTTTTTACAAGCTTAAAATACTTTGCAGATGAGGTTTTTACACAACAAACAAAAAAAATAAACCCCTCAAATAGAACTCTGAAATCTGAATATAAGAAATTCAAAGTTGAATTGAACCCATCAGTGTTTAACTGTTATCTGTAACAGGGACAAAACCAGTACTGGGAGTTCAATATGTAAAAAAAAAACGCAGTGGGTGTTGTGACACGACCTGAGCTGGTGCTTCTCCCGTTCATCAAACCTCTGATCATTTCTTTCTCAGGTGCGCGTCTGCTCACAGGCCGACACACGCTCTCAGCGCTGGCTTTCATCAGACGCAGCTCGCGGTGTCAGGAGCAGACAGCTGCGCACCAGCAGATGCTCCGGGCTTTTATCCAAATGAGAGGGACCATAGGCCTCACAGCTTTGATCCTAAGAACATCTTAGGTGTTCTTAGTGGGTGACTCCATAGTTAGCTGAGGCTCACAGAGCAGGGTGCTAGCACGGTGGACGGAAATTTCTGTTCAAATATTCCAACATCGCCACAGAACTCTGTTTCTGTGTGGAAACAGGCTTCGATTTTCTTCATCCTGTTGGTAATTTGTTACGCCTCAGCTCCCTTTAGCGCCCACTCTGTGCGGCCATCACTACTTCTGCTCTGGATTTTCATCCTTCCATTTGCACTTTCTCCTTGGTTACTTCTCCGGTCTGAATTGCAGTTATTTTGATGCCCCCGCTGCTAGTTGGGGGATAAATAAAACATACAGACGAGTGTACACAAATTAGTATGCTGCTGCACGCGTTTCTATTTTGGGACTGCTTCATTTTGAATGCATGCGCTCCATTTTTTGGGCCAGCTCAGTGAGCCGCGGTCACACATTTAGGCAAACCCTGTGGGAAACGCACTGTGACGGTTGGAATTTCCTTTTTCATTAGTCACCATTTAATCAACCGCCGGACTTAGTGCCTCACATTCCTACTTCCCATAGTAATCCATTCACAGAGAATCCAGCCCCATAAATCAGATACACGGCTGAAAAAACAGAAAAGCAGGAAAAAGTGGCCATTAAACACCACTGTGGCTGTTTTTTAAAAAATTCAAATGAAATAGTTTTCTATTTGATGTTAAAACTCAACTTCAGAGCCTGTCAGACTATCCCTAACGGCCCTGTCATCATGGAGGGGCTCAGACCCGAGTCCCAACAACATGTCCGCTGAAAGGAAGCAGCCGAGTATCTGGTCAGGAACCCTTCCAGACCCCTCCCGGGAGAGAGGCGTCCAGCACCAGGCGGCCTTAGGAGGACCAGGTCCCACTGTAGAGATTACATCGGCCTGTTTGTTTACAAAAGAATAGGAGTCCTTAGATGAGGCCCGGGGACTTCTGCTTAAACTTCGCCCCCCCTACACACACACACACACACACCCCGGTCCCGGCCGGGCAGCACAGAATACACAGATTTAGGGATAATTCCATCAATGTTTGGATGCCCTGCTTTGATGATCTGCTCATTTTTTGCCTTTATTTTTCCAGTGTTTCGCTTTTGTTTCAGACGAGGGATATTGGGCTGTCTAGGCTGTAAACCTCTGAGCTAATCTTAGTTGTGACTTCAGCCCCCCCCCCCCTCCTGAAGTTTCATTCTCTGGATGCCAAAGGAAGGAGTGGATCTGGAGTGACAAGCCAGGGATCCTTATTAGACTTTCAGCAAATATAGACTGCAACCCATGAGAAAGATTAGGAAGAAAATACCACCAAATGCTCCTTTAATATCCCAGAAAGAAGCAATGAAAGCAGAAAGGTAATAGCATTAAGGGCTTTGCATTTCGCACCGAGTTCAAGTCTGATTTTAAATGCAGTAAGACGACTAAACGGTTCTCTTCCTGTCATGTCTGGGTCACCCTTTTCTCAGTCGCTTGCTTAATTAAAAAACACGCCGTCACGAAGAAAAAATAACTCAAATATGACGACCTGTGGAGATTCCATGAGGAGCAGATGTGACTTTTCCCAAGTGGCAGCCAGAGCCGGCGGCTCGGCACAATGGTGCCAGTGGTCAGCGCGCTCTGGCCAACAGGAGGGGTTCACGGAAACAAGCCGCGCACAGACAAAAGGGCCATGCTGTAATGTGTGCGAGGGCCCACACGGCCCGCAGCATGACTGGATGCAAACAATCCCTCACCATGGCGACGCAGCCCCGGCTTTGTCCGGCCTTTACGCACAGATGACCGGACTGATTGGAGAGCGTGGTCTGGGAAAGGGGACCAAACAATCGGCAACAAATAAGAAGCAACCAGCGCTCTCCTGCCACTTCCTCTTTGTCTCTTTTCAGCGCGGGCGAGGGGAAAAACATGGAGGAGTGTCCTGCAGAGGGGTCTCACATGCTGTGGGGAGACTTTTAGAGTTGGAAGCTTTCAGCTAGAGCTCACCTACATGCGCTGTAAAGCCCTCTGTGTTTTCCTCACATCTGAAGACCAGGAAAACAAAAGTTCAGCAGCAAATCAATTCAAATAATTTGTCGAGGTATTTTCTGACTCAACATCTTTTCTCAGTCTTTTACCCTTCACAATTGCCTGTTGGACGAGGACAAACTAGCCAAGTAGCTCTCCAAACTGTCCAACACTTAACACCGGCCGTACTGCCGAGTTCAGATCTTCTGCTGCTGCAAACTCTCAAAACAGTTTCTGAAACCGGAGGGAAATTCTCCCCGTTAGACGAACCCTCTGAGGACCACAGCTGTTGAAAAATCCTATCACATCCCGCCCCATTGTTGTTGAGATAGCGACTGACATTTTTCATCTCTGGGGCCGTGCTCCCGTACAACAAAAATAGCAACCAGAAATGCTGACATCAGCGTTTCTCGTCGAAGCAAATTAAATTAAATTTCAACCCTCGTCCTCGGACGGCATGTCACTTTTCTTGATGGAGGGTTTAGGAGACCGTGCTGCACACTGGTGACTCTGTGCTCTGGAGTTGGCTCACAGCCTTGATTTCATACGGTGGATTCATGGTTATTCATTCCCCCCCAAACAGTGAGCTTATCACAACTGGAACTGCAAGGTCTGATCTTCAATGCGTGCACACCTCACACACAAAGACACTGGTGTGTGTGTGGCTGTGTGTTCTGCAAAAAGAGAAAAAGAAAGCTGACATAAGCCGAGTCTAAAAGCTTTCAGGAAGTAATCAGACTGGAAAGCTTTGCATTCAGGTGCTGTCAGTCATCTTTTCTGGACGACACAATGTGAGATTTCTCTGGAGAGACAAGCACGCACATGCAGCGTTCTGTGGGCTTCAGCGAGCTGACTGGAGGCTGTGGCACGGTGCTGAGCAGAGCTCCTTACTTTGCCTTGTTGGTGTGTTCACAAGATAAATCCAGGTTAGAGATGAGATTTGTTTTCAACAACTGCGGCAAACAATCACAATCTTGCAGCTTCAAAAGTTCAAACTAATCAGGCTGACGAACACAATAAGCTTTTAAGGCTGGCAGCTTAACGGAGCACACGGTGGCAGGAGGACGAGTCCCCTAAGAGATGAACTTGACTGGATTGACTCTGATAAGTGGGTTAGAGGTTTTTCCACTACGATAGCACAGACCTGCCCTCACAGGCAAATATCTGCACGCATTTAGGGGCCAATTAGCTGAAATAAAAGAGGTGGAGGACTCAAATCAACCACTTGGATGGTGAATATAAAAACTTTAAGAGGAGACTCAGGAACCCAAACAGATGTGACGTTTTGAAAGCCGGTGACAGCTTTATTTCTATCCAACCAATCACTAAACATTAAACAGCTTTCTGATTATGTGTTTGTTTTTTTTCCAACAAAATGATCAGATGATTATTTGGGGCGTTTGAAATGGGACTGAATGGACCAAAAGATCAACAAGTTTGAAAGAACATCACCAGTACATGATGCCTAAATAAAAAAAGGCTGACTTTGGTTCTGGTTTTAAGGACTTAATGGATTAAATTAACCTTGTCTTTGTAAATGTAGGTAAAGTAACAGCATTTCAGTCTCAAATAAAAACCATCCTGAGCACAAATTAGGGTTTGTGCCTTCCTTTAGTTGTGTTTTCGTACCCCAGAACAATCCCAGTTCCCAGTCGGCCGTGCGTGCTCGTCCTTCCCCTCATCACGCACGTGCTCCGGGAACTTTTCCTGCCCTGCTGGAGCCACAGGACCCGGCTGAAGGAGCTCCTGATTAAAGCCGCTGCTGAGTGCGCGCTTCTGCTCCGGGCTCCGGGGAGCCTCTCACCCGTCACGCACGCCGTGCACCCGCGTCCCCACGGCAGAACAGGAGACTGTGGCCCACTGGTGTCAAACCAGAGCTAAAACTGTTCCAGAATGCTCAGATACTCAGATTCCTGGGCTATTCTCCAGAAAAAATAATAATAAAAGGACGTCATAAATCTGACCGGCAAAGTTACACAACTGCTGACCTGTCACCGGAGCCCCTGTCACGATCATCTGGGGCGCACACACAGCTTGGTTTGACCGTAATAGCCAATAATGCACTGGAGGTAATCTCCTCAGCCTGTGCGAGCGTTTTAAATGGCCTTTCGGTGCGCGGCTCCGGAGGACTGACGCATCGTGGCTCCAGCACCGGCCGCGGAACCGGCCCCCGGCTGCACGTACCTGCGGGTCAGAACATCCACGGCCGCCGCCGGTCCTCCGCCTCAACGCCCGGCCGGTTTCGGAGCACACACCTCCCGGGACGTGCAGGCTGCGCCGGTGCGCAGAGAGCCCGGCTTAATCCGCGCCCGCAGAGTCAGCGGCGCGCGCGCGTGCCCGCCTCAACGGACCCGCGTGGATGTAAACAACGAATCCATCCGGTCATCGGGACATCCGACCGAGGGGCCGCGCACGTCTGCAGCTCTGGCCGTCAGCCCCCTGCTCTGGACAGGACCCCCCCCCCCCCCCTGCAGATCGCGTCCGGACAGAAGTGGGACACCGCAAGGCATGATGGACCAGTTAAAGCTGCAACGCACCGCCACGACGTGCGGACGCAGACCCACTCAGAGCCTACACAACACAGACACACTCAGAGCCAACACAACACAGACACACTCAGAGCCAACACAACACAGACCCACTCAGAGCCAACACAACACAGACACACTCAGAGCCTACACAACACAGACCCACTCAGTTCCCACTCTGATGGAAGCACAGGAGCACATGTGGCCGTACACGTGCTTTTATTTAGACAGGAATCCCATATTATGTTTGCCCATCATAACACCCCCCCCCCCAAAAAAAAAAGAAGAAAAAAAGAAAAGAAGCCTTCTGCTCATGATAGATTTTGCTGAACAGTTTAGTTCCACTAATTGAAAAGCAGGTGTGAGATTGAATAACAGGTCTCATTCTGAAACAGGTCTGTCTAGAATACCTCCTTAAATAGTTCCCAGACAAAAATGGCAGAATGCATACTGATAATCATCCAACTTCATATTCTTGTTGGATCTTATATAATCCCACTTTCCAAGTGCCTCCTGTATTTATTAGTGTTCCATTATATTGCATTTGCAAAATGATGTATTTTGGTCAGTGACTCACTGCTAATTTACAGTAAATAGTCAGAGATAATTAAAAAAGAAGAAAACAAATCCCTTGGTATGTTCCTTTCATTGGCTGTTTTAGTAGTTAATCACGCTGTTGAAGACCTGAGGATTAATTTAGAATCAAACTCTGGAAATAAAACCCAACATATGGCTCAGCTGAGGCCCCAGTCAAACTGGAAGTGATGGATAGCATTTTCCTTCCAGAGCCAGGAGTTTCACAGATGTGCTCAGGATTAAAGCTCCAACCTGACAAGATATATGCAAAGTCTCTTGGCTTTGTAAGTTACAGAGTTATAGCATCTACTTAAATGACTGCTTTTCACATTTTAATTTGTCCTGAAACATTTAAATCCATTGTTTTCCCTCCACAAAGATAAATGTAATCCAATTTTGTAATCCATTTATCTGACTTGTCTCACACAGCCAGATGTTTTTTGACACCAAAACCATTTTTCATTTGTTTTAAAGGCAAAGATCAAAAGCTTTATCAATGCTTAGACAGTCACTGTTAAAGAAGAAAGAGAAGAGATGTACTCAAAGTGGGAATAGGAAAAATGGAGGACCAGGAAATCAAATCTAAGCTTCTTTTATAAAAACTATAGAATGTGAAGCCAAGGTTGCTGCACAAATGACGAGGAGCTGAGAGGGTGTGAGGGAACCCAAAGAGCCTAAATACAGAGGGGGGTAGATTACTGAGTGAAGACAGCTGAGGATAATGAGAACAGGTGAAGGGAGCAGAGCAGATTATCAGACTGGAGGAGAACAGAGGACAAGGAAAAGAAAAACAGACAAAGAACATAAAAACACAAGAATGATCCGGTCAGGAAACCACTACAGAACATCCACAGATCATAAAAACTCTAAAGAACAAAGTCCACAAAAAAACAAAAGCCCACCAAATATTTCACATTTTTCTATATTTGCTCCAGCGTTTTAGACCTCTCAGCAGAGTTGAGAATCCTAAATGAATAATAATAAATTCTCTGCTCTGACTGGGTATGCCAGTAAACAGGCGCCCAGTCCTAAACCCCCTCTGAAATAAACTTCCTTTCTTGGAAAAGTTTACTTTGCGTGTTAGGCTGAAAACAACCAAACAAACTGTCTGGACTTCCTTGAGCAGAATTCTGATCTAGGTCTGTTGCATTTTGAGGGGTTTTTTAGCACACTGGTGACTTTCAGCATCTATGTTTTGATAGATGCCCAAAGTCATCCATCTCTGGTTTTTGTTTTTTTGACTATCTATTCAGATTGTTTTGCTAATTAGTTTTTTAGAAAATCTTTTAATGTTGCACTACTCACATGATTACTGCCTGTAATTCTGTCACATTTGTACATCTGCTGAAAAAGCTGAAGTAGCAACAAATCCAGATGAGCTGAAGAGGAAATATCAAGTATGCAGCGCAGAAACTAAATGGACATAAAGAAAGGGGAAGTTGGTATAATTTAATGCCTCAATCATAATGAGAAATGTGAGACAACTTGTGGTTTAATTTTTTCTCAGCTTTTTTATGTTCCTTTTTTATCTAAAAAACCATGACCAAAGCATTTCTTTGATAAGGATTTACACAATGGAAACAGAATTTCCCAGTGGGGATTAAAAGTGTTATTGAATTTAATTCCTTTGTCTAGTAACGCTGTGGTAAATCTCACGTCACACAAAACTTTTAAGGGGCATAATCAGCTTTGGCAAAGGTCAGTGCTGTCGCAGTACCTTTTTTAGCTACATGCAGACTAAAGGCAAATCACATCCGTCTCATTTAAATGGATCAGACAGTTCTGTCTGCACTCTCATTTGTATTGGGTCAGATTGTGATGGCGTTTGCAGACATGAACACATTTGCATTTTTCTATATTCACAGGTCTGTTGTCAGTGAGAGCGGAGCAGTGACTGAAACCTGGTTTTCCAAACATTCATTCCCTCCTGCTTTGCCTGAGTGAAATCTTTCCCTCCACAGTTCTATCAGACTATTTACTTTGGCATCTGTTCCTGAATATCTTCCTTTTGTCTTTCATAGACCTTTGTGAACAGCACCGTTGCATTCATGAATCTCCTCTTGGATCTGGATTTGTTTGGTATATTCAGAGTGCTCCAAAAGAAGCATTGAAACCTGATTTTCAAAGCTAAAGAGGCCGCGTTTCGTTTAATCTGGAGTCAAGTTTCTCACCTCTAAAACAGGACTCTGATCAGATTTGTTTTATTTCTGCCGTCTCGGCTGTTCTGAAATGTGACTGGCATCAAGTCTTTGAGCTCCTCTGACCACAGTTCTCGTTATCTGGCTGATTCCACATTAAAGGGACCAAACCGTGTTCCCAGACTTTTTGACTTGTGACCAGATTAAGTTCATGCCTGCGTGTCACCACGTTCACACGGCCGTCTGCACCTCATGTGACGGGTTCAGCCCTCTGGTCAATCTACTCTTCAGCTCCATAATGAGTCACACAGAAGATCAACCTAAACTGGAATCCAAACCTATGAAGTCTATGAGGAGTTTTTCTCTTTCATCTCCTGGTTGAAAACGTGTCCCGCTCTCTGAGAGACGGCACAAACTAAGACAACCACGCAGAGCCCGGGCTGCTCTGCCCCGCAGGCCGAGGGCCTTCAGAGGCGGTCAGGGCCGGAGGGGACGCCCCCTAACCAGCAGCGAGGGCTGCAACAGAGCTCGTTAACCACGGTAAAAACTAACATGATGTTCCATGCGATTCCAAATTCTGCTTTCTAAACTAGGATAATGTCATTTTGGAGTTGTTGTTTTTTTTAGTTCTAGCTCTGGTTATTTTGTGTCCCAGTTCTTATTGTTTTACTCTTTTCTTTTGATCTTCTTTGTTTCCTTGTGGTGATTTTTTTATATTTTTTTCAGTGTTGTTTTCCATTTACATCTTATTTTGTCATTTTTGCATTCGTTTGTAATATTAGTCTTTACTCTGGTCATTGTATACCATATTTTGTCTGTTTTGTTGGATTTTTACATGATTATTTTTCTTTTTGTGTTAGATTGTGGCCTATTTTTGTTTATTCTTCATCTGCCCATTGAATATCAAAACAAATCATAATATTGTCACTTCTTTTTTTTCGTTTATATGTTCATAGTTTGTAGATTTTATTTAAAATGTTGTTCTCAAATTTTAGTTGCCAATCTGTCTCTGAAGTCATTTTACATTTCTTTTGTATCTTATGTGTACAGAAATTCATTCCTCTGACACGTCCAAGGATATGTGTGATATTTTTAGGAGAGGATCAAGGCCAACTGACTCAAAGGGCCCCTGATACAGTCCCCCAGTTATCCGTGCACACTTTGTTCCCCATAATGTCTGTGACACTAAAGAGTGAAGCTTCATTCCAGACATTCTTAAAAGGTCTGCTGGGTAAGGACATTTGTATTCCCAGGAAGCCATTTCTTTAATAACTTCGGTTCAGATTTCACATTTTATTGAACAATCATGTCAGCAGGGAGCAATCGGCCCTGAGTGGTGACATCCGTAACAATGGCCCCACTGTAAAGTAAAAACCATCGTCCCTTTTGCATGCACTGCTCTGCTGCAAACGTGTGAATGAGCCCTTTCTCCCTCTCTGGGAAATGAAGTGCAGCCAGTGGGACAGCTTGAGCTTGTGGCAGCCGCAAACAAACCTATTCTCGTGTTTCTGCACACCTGTTACCGCCGCCTGTTTTAGCACGTAGATTATTTCTCAGGTTTTTCTATATATATTCTTCAGGCTACCACAAGTTAAATGACTGATCTCACAGTTTTGAAAGATAAAAAAAGAGACTATTAAACTTTATCCAACAAATATTCCCATTGTGAGCTTTTGTTTGTGAAATAAGAAATTGGGACTAATTTTCAGAGCAGCATAAGCTCCAGACAAATAAACAAATAAGCTATTGTTTAACGGATTTGGGACAAACCTAGACTTTCTCCTCCTTCAGCCAAAACCAGGGCTTGAAAATCATGGCCTTTGTCACCAAAATAGCTCACAAAAATGGGTGAATTAGAGATTAGCTGCAAAGAGGAGAGGGCAGTTTAGTTGATCAGAGGTTTAGAGTCTAATCCAGGAGGTAAAGCTTGCTAGAACACTTGAAATTAATGTTTATTTATATTAAAAGCCTCTTAAGAGGACAAAACCCACTTAAAGGTAGTTTCATGCATCAAACTGAGTATCTGCTCTTTGTTCTTTTAAGTAACATGCTGTTTATACTGCACCACTGCCCCCTGCAGGACGTGCTCAGAATAAATCTGGATTTTCAGGATTTTAGTGAACTAACTGGAGGGTTGTTATTTTTTAAGGGGAAGCTTATTTATGTCTGAAGAATTTACTTAAATCATTGAGTGCTCCTGTATACACTTTATGTCACAAAATATAAGACAGAACATTTCACAAATGTTCTTTAAGCTGCTATTTTTTTTTTCCACACAGCAACAGTGTTTACTGAATCTAAAGGTTGCAAAGTAAAAGAAACTGATCCAATTCTAGGATTTTTTTTTACATCTGCACTTAAAGAGGCTATCTTTAGTCTCTTCCTCATGTCTTCTAGAGGATCCGCATACATATACGAGGGAATCACGGGCATAAAGCTGTAATTACTTCACGGGATACTGTTAATTTGATTAAACAGAATTAACTACTGCCTGAAATCAAGTGGTCTTTCTAAATTTCCCAACTGAGATCAGCTTCATTAGATGAAGTGGATCTCTTGGGGAATTTGACTTTTTAAATGAAAAACTGTCTTGGCAAGGGCACAGAGGAAATTAGTTCAGGGTTTCTTCTTCTTGAGTTCTGCATTACTTACTTTCAATTTGGGTCATATCAGCCTTTTTTTAATGACTCTTTTAGTAATATCACTATTGATGATTAAACGCTGATTCGTGTATGAATGAAGGAAAGTCCTCCACTGACTTGTCTCCTCACTGACCTTTACAGAGCGGCGATGCTGATTGGCAGACGTCCTCCCAACTCCTCCCCCACCTCAGCTGTACCGCAGTGCAGCGCGCCTTGCCAGGGCCTTCAGGTTATCGCTCTCTCTCAGGCATCTGGGACCATTTGATTTTATTACCACTTTATTTACAAATGATGGGGATGACTATCAGTGTCATCTTAATCTGAATTTACACACTGCAAGTATAGACTATTAAAGAAGGATCTTTTCAAAGTTTAAACATAGTTGTCGATGAATCCATTACTGTAAACTTTAATCACGAGTTTGATAACAAAGCCAAGTTTTTCTTAGGTTAAAATGAATTCACAGAAACAGATGTACCAACTTGCAACTTAGCTGCTGACATCCTGAAATAAATAAAGATCAAAATGCTTGCTTAAAATGCTTTATCACATACGTTTATCTGCCACCTTATTTGGTACCTCAAATAATAAATACTTCTCGAACTTGCTCCAGTGTCTTTACTCTGGAAGGTCATCAGCTGTGGAGCTGCCACCAGACTGTGTGAAAAGTACAACGCAAATCGGAATCACTTCAAACTGAATATGTTATCATTGCTACAGTGACTTCAAGCTTTTCAGAATTTCTATGTTCAACTGTCAGTTTCTTGGACCATGAGACCATATGACAGTGGACAGATGTATTTGACTTCAGAAACAATAACAAAAGTACTGTAAAGGCCACATGAAATATCTCTGTTTTCATTACTCCTTCCACTCAGGTAAGGTAATCTGAATGGGTCTTGTGTCATTAAGCAGAGACAAAAGCGCTGATTGAAGAAGAAGAATAAAAGTGTAATTCTCAATGTTTTGTGGTTGATATTATAAAAGAGAAGGAAAAAAAACTGTCAATACATTATTGTTTATCCAGAGCAGGAAGACTAATTCATTGGCACGTCAGGACTCCACAGAGGGGGTCCTTCAACAAGTCCGTTTTTAATGTTCAAAGTTTACCAAACTGGCAACATATAAGCTGCTGGATGTAGAAAATGCTGACAAAGCCTTCCATGACAGTGTGTGTTTAAGCTTCTGACTGACTGCATCATCTCTGAATTTAAGGATAAGCCATTAATGTGTTGGAAGTTGTACAGTTAAGTGAATAAAAATCAAGACTTCAAGACTCTATGCGCTCTTGATCAAGCCCCAATATACAACAAGCTTTGCATGACAATGTGTCTGAAACAGACTGCTTCCATTTCTTTTTTTTAATGTTTTTTGTAGCGTCTATTTTTATCGTAGAACTCTTTTACTGCCTTTGCTGTCGTTGGATTGATAAAATCAGATTTTTTGGTGTTTTTCTGTTGAGAGAGGGGGAAAAAAATATTGATTAGAGATGCGGAAGGTTATAGATTACAGAAGTAATCCTGCTCAGAGACTGAAATACTCTAAAAATAAGTAAATTAGATTATTATTGTATTCCGTCTAAAAACAACAAGCATCTTATTTAATCTTGACTTTCACAGCTTGATGACAAAATGAGAATAAATAATGCTCATACATGATGTTTTCTCATGTATGCTAGTGTATGCGATACAATATTTCTAATAATTTATGAGCATCATATATTTAAAATGTTACGTTCTCAGGAAAATGTAAGAAAAATTAAGAAAATATATGAAGAAAGTGTTTGACAATTGTCTCCAAGTGAAAGCAGCTATGGATTTGTTCACAGAGGAAACTGAGACATACTGCATTACAATTTTATCAAATAAAATGTGATGTTGTGAAGGGTGATGTATGAAGGGACTCACCGTCCTGAAGGTTTCATGGAAATCAGTGTAATCCCACATTTTGTGCAGCAGAACACAGGCTACCTGACCCGCATTGATTCTCCCACAACTACAAAGACAAAAGGTGCAGTTAGGGTACAGGTTGCTTTTTTTCTCCATATTCCCTCCTCTTTTAACCTTAGAATTGAAAATGATTTTTCATAATAGTTCCATTTGAATTAAATTAGACCTAACTTGCTACCATCACATCAAAAGTTTGCGAAGCCTCTGAATCCTTGAATTAATATTTTACCTATTTACAGGCACAGAATCTTACATATAGTAATGTTCCTGTGTTAAATCAAAGTCATTATACAGGAAAACAGCCGTGCATGTGCAGGGATTTGTGATCTCTGACTAACCCTTCGTATAGATTAGCAAATCGGATGATTTCTGTCAGACTATTGTTGCTGATGAGGGGTTTGATGTACTGTTTGTCCCTCTGGATCAGGTTGAGCAGGATGTAAAAGAAAGATGTCGCCTCACTGAACAGTGTATTCTCATTGTCAATGGGCAGCATTTCCACCACTTTTGGCAACAAAATATCCCCTGCAGAATGAAAAGAAGCATAGTGAAAAATGTCTAACCTGATCAGATGGAAGACATGAGATAACTACTTGAATATGACATTACCGATGGCATGGTATGTTTCTTGGTGGTTAGATAGGTTCCTTATTAGACGTATGGTTGTTGCCACCTCTTGGTCCACCCCCCCCATCAAAATTTCCTTAACAAGCTCGAGTCCCTTTTCCTGCTTGACAATGGCCATGGCCATGGCTTTGCTCATCTGGTGGGTAAAAATACACAACAACAAAAAAACAAAAGATTTGTTTTGATTTTTAAATAAATCCACAATCTGGTGTGCTGATAAAATCAATCCAAAAAGGGTTGTTTTCCCATTTGGAAATTCTTGTGAACATTCATATTCAAAGAAATACAAAAGCTTAAATAAATAATGATAATAATTCATTTGCAGATTTGCTCGTTCACTTACCGCCTGCTGTCCGGCTGTGATGTTCTGCAGCGCCCCGATGGCGGCCAGCCTCGTGTCCAGGATCTTGCTGCAGGCCATCACAGACAGAAACATCCTGACGCTGATGGGGCTCCACAGCCACTCCACGCCTTTAGGGGAGGACTTATTCTCCAGCTGGTGGTGCTCATGCTTCAGATCCTGAGGGACACCAGAGTGTTTACATTTCGCTCAACTGGAGGTGGACAAGCAAAGTATGCGTCTTTCTGGGTCAATATGCTGCAAGACTTACAGTCTGGTAGCGTCTTTACGAGGAGTTTAACCCTGAATGTTCTCACTAAGATTAAAGTATATCTTTTACTTTTCATATTTTCAAAGGGGAATCATGGAGACCATAAAATTCATGACCCCTTTTGCCAGAACAAAGCTAAACAGATCTGCTAAACTGTTTAGTCTGCTTTATCAGGGTTTAAAATATTGGAGTTGAGGCAGAATCTGTAGTCAGTAAGCAGCATAAGCATTTATACCCTATGAGGGGAAGCTCATTTTCTCTGAAACCATTTCAGTTGTGTCCTCAAAATGCTCATCATGGATTCTTTGCTTGTCAAAGTGGATTACTCTGAAAAAGGGATTACCTTTGAGATCTTGGCACTGCGATAAGGAAAACAGCCGACAGACGTTGATTCGGAAGCCAGGTTTTGGTTAGAGACTGTGTGCTGTTGGATGTATTGACGTAGATAGTCTTCCTCAACCTGAAAAGTCATGTTGTGCAGAATGCAGACACAGTTCTCTGTGGACTGTAAAATTAATAAAAGATGCAGATTAACAAAATAAATTAAAGTAAGCTGGTTGAAGAGTGCATAGATTAAAAAAAATATTAGAATCAAACTTGAATTAACCCAAAGGCCCATGAATCCTTTTTTTAAAGGAACTGACACATTTTTATCAAGAATGTCTGATATCTGGAAACGAGAAATGCCTCGTGACAACATCCATGATCGTATCTACTGTGCAACAGATGGTAGAGACAAACATTTTTTTACTTCACCCTGTCGTCTGCCTTTGAGCTGGCAACAGTTCCCTGAACGTAGTAAACCAGGGAGTCAATGAGATTCTCACAGTTCCTGATCATTTGCCTGATGTTGGGACCAGCAGAGCTCAAATTTCTGAAAACAAACGAGAACAAAAAAATCTTTTGTGTGTGTTCGTGAGACTTGAACTTTTCAAGTTTGTATGAATCCCTGGTAGTAAAGCCTGCTAATAGTTCTTATGTGTCTGCAATGTAACAGAAAAAGCTAACTTAAGCAGGTTTTAAATCAACCAGATATTGGTATCAATTGTGAAAATGATTTCAGACTTCTAAAGACCTCTACAGGGAAATAAACACAGTCTCCCCACACAAATGGCTCTTTGTCCTGTGATGAAACCCAAGAGGAACAGGATTTTTTTTTTCACTGGTGGGAGCTCAAAAGGTTTCAGAACATAAGGAGAACCTGATAACTCCGGGCCAGCGAGGACATAACTATTTCAGTTCAGCCGAGTGGAGAGATGAGAGAGAGAGCATGTTGAATAATTCACTCTTTCACTCTTCTCGTCTGGCTTTAGTTGCTAAGGGAGGACTACAACTGGTATCTCCTGCTTTGTAAACACACACAGGCTGCATGTTTAAACAAGCAAAACTTTGGTATTAACAGATTAAATATCTTCCACTGAAATTGAACACATTAACAATTACTCATCCACTGGGGTAGAGTTAATGTTTTCAGTTTTGTGTCCTAGAAGGATTCTGGGGAAATAACCAACCAGTTTGGCACGTTGTGTGAGTTTGCAATTCTTCAAGACAAGCTCACAAACAATAACAAACAGAGATCTGTGATAATCATTAACTGTGATAGATAGCAAAAATGAGAGAGCAATTCCCATTTTTCTTCCTATCTGTCACATTATGGAAATTCTTATTTTCTCCATCTGGATCAATAGGAGCTCTTTGCCATTTTATTGTTTACTATATACTCCAGAGGGTTACACAGGGTTAAATGTGCCTACCGCAGGCAGCCTGTAGCGTGATAGAAGGCATCATCATCAGCGCGGAGCTTGTCCTTTGGGTTTTCGCCCTCTGACATGCCGGAGGTGGGCACCAGCACCGACTTGGTGAGCGCATCTATGACGTCTGGTTTGAAGCGCTCCTTCAAAATGTCATTGGCGGAGAGGTTCCACAATAGACCTGGGGTAGGGGGACGGGGTACATTTTAATATTTGATTATCATTCTGAGACAGAGCAAATATGAGATTCCACTTGTGGAGCCAGTGATTATTATTTGTCCCTGTTGAATTGAATTTCAAGACAGATTGTTCCATTCGTTGCCCACTTGAATTAGTCAACACAATTTGGTGTCACATTTCTAAGCCTTCAGCACAACTCTGCACTGTCACCGGTGTCAGGCTGAAGTTGTGGCTTTAAACATATGAGTAAGCAACGCAGCCACTGACCTGTAAGCTGGCGTCCTGTGTCCTTGTCGTAACTTTTTACCAGTGCAGTTGATATAATGGAAAGACCGTCTTTGCTTTCCACCTCCATCTTATTATCGTGGTTCTGGTAAACGACGTTGCGCAGGGCCCCGGCAGCCATTCGCTGCACATCCTCACTCTCATTGTTAAGGACATAAAGGAGTATTTCAATTGCATGAAGAGAAAACACCTGAAACAGAAATGGATAACAGCTTCAAAATGGCCAACTGGTTTGATTTTCTCTGTAAAGGCTTTGTTTAACACCCTTAAATTGTCAAAAAGCTCAATATTAAATAATTGAAATTATCCAAAAATACATCCATCCATCCATCCATTATCAATACCGCTTATTCCCTCCAAAAATACAATATATGTGATATAACATACCTTCTCTCTGGCCTCATAACTCTGGAAACACTGTCTTTGTATGTAATTGAGCGCAAGGATCAGGGTTTCTTCATTATCCTGCTTCAGAAGGTCCACCGCCTCCTCCATGGTCATCTGTGGACTACTCATGCTGTTCATGGTTTGATCAGGACATTGCGGGAATAAACTGAATAGATGTGCAAAGTGAAAACAGATCTTACAGTACTGCGACATTCTGTGCCTGCCCAACGGGGAGTTCTGCCTTCACCTGGCTCCTGATCTTCACCTCCGCACTGCTACTAGAGGCTGGGTATGATTTCAGGGTCAGAGACTTCTGCGCTTCCCTGTTGACCAGAGCCGGCCAGGAGGGAGCTGAACAAGTTTGGGTGTATTCAAACACCTTGTTATTGCGTCTCCGCACAAAGCGTTTATTCGGGTCTAAAACAGTTTGCTGGTTGCGCGAAGTGGGGCCATTTTGGGGAAAGGCTGCTGCCGCTGACGCGGGCTGCATCGCTCTGAGCGACTGACTGCGCCTGAAGGTTGCATCTGCAGAGCGGGACGCCTGCTTCCGCCTTTCAGAAGGAACCACTCTGATGGTGGGGGTCCTAAATGAAACCGCTAGACGCGAGTGGTCTTGCAGAGTTCCTGCTGTGTGCAAATGGCCACGTTGTGGGTGGGTGTGCGTCCCACTGAGATACACACTCTGATCCAAATGACTGCGAGAGAACACTGAGTTTTGTGGGGTGGACACTTGGAACCTCCTTGACAGTCTCGGAACATGGCCAGTGAGGGAGCGGCTGGAGAAATCCGATCCATTGAGCTGGGAAGAAACAAGGAAAAGTTTGATTTCAGTCTTAAATATACCCGGGACTATGAAAAAGTGCATTGATTCTTTTTCTATGATGGACACATGATGTAATACACATATTACCAGTCCTACAAACCACATACTACTTCTTTTACACCTTCATTTGTTCAGACTTCGGACTTTATTGGGCACAGGACGGTGCATATTATAATATGTGTCTACATAAAATATAATTGAATGATGATCAATAATGAAGATAACATTATTAAAAAAAGAGTATGAAAAAAATCTTCACCTGAAACATTTTTTTCTTTGTATTTATCTATAAACTGATTAGTGGTAATGAAAACAAATTCTATTCAAATCATAGCTTAATAGCTTAAGAAACTATTCTTTTCTAATTACACACAAATGATCTTAACTATTCAATGTGGAGCCAAAAATAAGAATGAAGTAATTCATATGATGCACTAGGAAGATGTGGACAAAAGACAAAGCTGCATCAGTGAACCACACACACTCACATTTGATTAAATTCAAATGACTGACTCAAGCTACAAATTTATGCTGCACATACCCAGAATAAAAAGGTACACTGTGAGCCTTTGGATTACACTAAATATGACAGTTTTAGCTTTCTCTTAATTTCTTCTTTGTATGTGTAGGTATTAGTATGAATAAAGACTATGTTATAAAAGAATGATTTACCTTTGTGTTTGATAAGAAGCTATCATCCAAGCTCTTTTCTGGTTTTAAATGGACTCCACCTTTAAACCATAAAAAATGAGCGGCACATTAGACTCAAGAGACATTCGACGTTAAATTTTATATAAGACAAAAACAAAACTAGCTTCTGAAACATTGAGATTTTCAGCTCTTCTTTGTTAAATACTACACGTAATCTCTACAACTAATAACGACTTAACTTTATACAGACTGATTCAACTAAAGAAACCTGTTGGACAAGTTGATCATATGTTACTAAATGTAAGTACACATTCTTCTAACAAAAACAAAGGTTCCTGTATTTACTCTGATTAACCTTGTTTAAGAACCCCAGGTGCCTGTCAGTCCTCTGGACCATGTATGCAAAATGTCCTCCATCCCATAATATGAACATCCACCCACCCAATGTCTACAACAGCTTAATCAAGCAGGGTTGCAGGGGGGCTGAAACCCAAACCCCAAACAAACACACACTCACTCACACACACATGCACACACACAAACAGACACAGACATAGACACAGACAACACACACACAAACCAAGCGATTCAAACCGAGAAGCTGCCCTCTTTATTACGACGGTGCTTTTTTTATTTTGAAATCCTTTAATTTCCCAGTGCCATACCGGGTGGTTTAGGGCGGTTCACCTGTTGGGAAGCTAATAGGAGAGTTCCTGCCTCCTTTGTGCCACCCTCACAATTATCCACAGACGGCAAGTCCATTCAGGACAGCGTTTTACAAATAAAAAATGGAACATTACCATTCGAGGGAGCCTTCTGGGACTTCCGTGACAGCGTGAGCTGAACTTGACGCTGAACGCGGAGGCTCCGGTGGCCGGCCTCCGCTCCCGCCCCGCACTCCGCGGTCTGCTCCAGAGCCAGGCTGGTGTCGCCGGGCACCCCGGGGCCCTGCGAGGGCAGCGACGACTTTAAAAACCCCTCGGCCATGGTCGACCGGGCAGAAAGACGTCAGGGCTTCGTCGTTGTCCTCATTTCACGTGTCAGATACCGTCTCTGGATTACAGGTCCGTCTCGCTCTGCTGCCCCGCGTGCAGGTGGGTCAACTAGGCTGGCACTGGGGGGCGGGGCTAAACAGGAACCTGAGGAGTCAGGTGTCACCGCCCCTACCGCCGGCAGGTACGGTGATCAGTGACTAGTCATTTCATTTTATGCCTAACTGAATTTGCAGAATGTTTTTCACTTCATTTCTCTCACACTGAAACTCCTTTCAAAGATTAACCTTGTGGTATAAACAAAAGGCCTACAGCAGTGGTGAGTTTTCGGTGATGTGACAACGTTTAAATGCAGGTTTTGCCTGAGTAATGTTTTGAAAACAGGGTGAATGCCCCTTCTGCTGACAGCAAAACAAAGCACACAAATATAGCTTTTAGATAGTTTAACAAAGTCATATGTGATATACATCAGATGCAAAACAGTTGTCTAACAGGTAAAAACTTCAACAGCTTAATTTCAAGCTGTTTGAAAGCTGTTTAAGATGGCTGAAGATGCCACAGTGTAATAAGTGATAACATGCCAGTGTGGGAGTGAAAAGATGCCGGAGAAAGAGAAAACTACTGTATTCTCTTGGCTATATTAAGTTAAATGATATTTCTTCCAGGCAAAGCAGGATTATGATGATTAAATTATCCTGATGTAATTGTTACTTTTTAGTATGCCAATAAAGACATAAATGTGGGAATCCATTAAGCTGATGGAGCTCTTCAGAGGGATCCATCTTATGCGTTATATAATGAATCGTACCCTGACCACAACTGTTTTGGATTATGTAATACATGCTAATGTGTGGTGGCATTTTAAAAATCTTTGTTTTCCCTAAATCTGATGATGGATCCAACTATAACACTACATAGACCTTTAATAATTCCCCACTTTTAAAGGAAAATGTCATCTTTTCTTTTCTATTACCCTATTACTTCTAGAAAACTTCCTTATTTGTCATAATGCTTCTCAAGTTTATTTAGTTTCTCCATAAATAAATAATTAGTCATGATTATTGTAAGATTTTTCCTCTTTAATGCAATCTTTTCAAACAATCTTTCCAGTCCAAATCACTTTCACATGTAACTCTGCTTTGCATAATATAGTGACAAACAGTGACAAACTCTCACATTTGCTTTGATTAAGATGCCATCAAATCAATGATCAACAGAGCCAAACATTCAACACCTTTTCAGCAAATATGCAAAATATCAAAATGTTTCAGACTGTTGTCAGCTGCAAACCACCAGTGTTACCAGATTCTAATTAAATCCAAATGTATATCATCAATAACCTGATAGGTGGATTGTAAAACAGTATGGGATAAGTGATAATAAGGGCTCAGTTATGGGTTGAAAAATGATGGATGTGGTCAGACTTTTTGTCCAAAAAAGAAATCTATTCATTTACGTTTAAGGTACTTTGCCCCCCACGTATTGATCAAAAAATGTTCCCCCTGCACTTGAGTTTTCAAAATTGGCACATCACATTTCAAGTTCATCATCCTGTAATTTACATTTACACACACAGACAGACAAAAGTCAAGCAAGGCCGACACGATGACGCGTGAACTGGCAAGAAAAACCTCAAGAGAATGGAATTTCGTGGGAAAGCAGCAACAACAGAGACAGATCAGAGTTTTTAAGTTCAAGAAAAGCCTGTGTGACGGCACAAATCGAAGTGGAGGTGTTTACTACAAAGCTGTATGCCTGACAGTCTATAAGACGTGAAAAAGAAACTAGATTTTCATTGCTATAAAAAAAATCTGATCCTTGTTATTCTTGCTAAAAGTTCGGGTTAATCTCAAAATATGAATGCATTTATATATGTATGTATATATATATATATACACACATATGTATAAAAAACAAACTTATTCATATCTCCACATTGTAATAGGCGCCTGGGTGGCATACAGAAAGAATAAGCTGTCCATTTTTAGTATTTTCCCTAAAAACAACCATTTGTTTAAGGTACAAACTAACTTAGTTTCATTCTGTGCTGTCAGGCATTTTGATAAGACGACATTTAATAAGACATCTCATTCTGCGATGCAGCTCTTGTTCGTGTAGGAACAAAGTGGATTTCTTGGTTTTCAGATGCGTTTTCTCCATAATCTCTACTCAAAATTTCCCATCCTGCCCCCGTTGCACATAGTCTATATACAAACATTCTACATCGTACATGCTCAGTGGAGTTTGTCCTTTTCTGCTGTTTTTACATTGTTAAAAAATATAGAAAATATCAAGAGAAAATGTACAGGTTCTTCCAGGTTAAAAACCTCCTCAAAGCTATTTACAAATCTCTGTGTGGTCAACTGGTTGTCATTCAGCTGTCGAAGCAAGCGAGACATCTCATTGAAGTTAGGATGAGCATGAAAAAAAAAGGTTTAATTAATAAAAAATATTTAAAATATTGTTTGGGGATGGAGGTTTAAAAAAAGATATAATAACCACTTTATTGTCCGATCGACAACTTGACAAACCTTGAGCTGGAACACTAAATCAATGTGTCCACCAAAAAACTAATTTATATTTTTCCCCATTGTTTTTAATCACAAAATATAATAATTGAGCCATAATTTGCAAAAAGTCCAAGATTCAGGGTAGTGTCAGCTTGTTTTCTTTGTAATTAGTGGACATTTTTAATAGTCTGCCTTCAAGCACCAGGAAATACTGCAACTTGATGACAGATGAGACAACCACTTTCATTTTCATTTAAAAGGTAATTCCACGGAACACCTTTCGCGAGAAAAAGACAGTCGAGCTCTGCCGCATCAGACCAATGGCATTTATGTCATTTGCAGGAGTGAATACTTTAAAAGGGTTCGCTTTAAAAAAAGATTGTGTGTAAATATCTCTTGGGGTGAAATAAAGTTAGCTGACATTTATCTCCACCGACAAAAGCTTCGGTATGAACAGCGGAGCTGTGTCGTTTGTCCAGTTTTTAGTTCACTGAGGTAGAAAGTTATTAATAACTCTTATTACAGGGTCATTTAGTTAAATATTGCATGTTTAAAATAAACCAGCACACTGATATTTAATACCATTAATTTAGTCATTTTAAGGTTGAAAGGAAACATTCTAATCAAACTGTTAACTCACTTGAATATGGTGTAAAAAAAATGAAATTTTACTTAAAAATGGAACAATCAAGGTTTTAAAATATTTTCAATACATAATATATTTTCTGTTATCATCTCGGGAAGATGACCGTGTTCCATTTGGAAACATTCTGCACAGCGGTGTGCTTTGGGGACAGCTGTACGGCCCTGCTCAGACGTGGAGAAAAAAAACAGAACCCGGATAAAACATTCATACGAAGTTTCTGTAAGGCATTCCTTCCCCCGAGGGGCCACACGTGGCAGCAGAGCCGGCAGCTTCCTCCTCCCAGACCGTGTCTGTGCCGGTCTGCTGTTCGCCAGCAAAAGAAAAGTGTTCACGACTCAGCCACGACCAGATGTCACCCCAGTAAAAGCTCCTCCAGCTCAGTCTTTACCACGTTTCTGGCAATGGCTTTGGTCAGTCTTGCAGCTATGGTTAGAGATTATAAATACAAGTCATCGGATTCATGCACGAGACTGTACACTGCCAGGAAACTGTCCCGGCTGGACAGCGCTGGGGGCCGGGGGGGCAGTCCTATCTGCAGGAGGAGCCCAGGACGCCGCCCGTCGAGGAGGTGGTGTTGGTGGCGCTGTAGTGGGGGTAGTTGTCGTTTGGCGGCGGGCCGGGGAGAATGGAGTTCCCATTGGTGGGAGAGCAGCTGATCTGGAGCCTCCGCAGGTACTCGGCGTGCACGGGCTTGTGGCTCTGCAGCACTCTGATGGCCTCGTCCACGGTGAACCACTCCCGCTTACGGCCTGCAGAGGGAGACAGAGGACCAGCGTGAGCCGGAGGACTCCCCCGGGCGGGGATGGTAAACAAGCCGCGTTGCTGAGACGCCTAAGAAAAATGCTTCTAGTTGCTTCTATGCTTCTTTAATAGATGCATATTTACAGGAATTAATCATGAAAGACTCATACATTTAAATCCAGGTTAAGGGGACTCACATCTGGGTAAAACACACACAAATAAATGCATGAACTCCACACGAGCACACGGCAGATGTTCTCTGCTGAGCACATCATAACAGAATAAGGCCAGATTTCAGCATCCATCATACTGATGGCTACGATATACTGCGGCTGAGTCTCCCTGCAGCCAGGATCAGTGCTCCAGATTTACGGTCACCTGTTGTCACTGCTTACTCGCGCAGTCTCCAAGCAGCATCCCCATAAATAAGACAAGACGCCGTATATTTTGCTCAGCAGTTATACACACACACACACACACCACAGTGGCCGCATACATTCCCGAGATGTCAGAGGAAAGCTGTACCTATGTTAACCGAGTCCTCCCAGGCCTCCAGCGTCTCAGTCACAGTCAACACGTACACGTACGTCCGATGCTTCCGATCCTGGTTTTGCTTTAAGAAACAGAAAAACAGGGGAAACTCGTTTCAGAATCACCTGTGTTTGTCACTAATTCCAGGTTAAAAACAAGCAAATATGTGTTTTTTGGCATTTAAACCATTTATAAAGGAAGGACTTACTTCAAATACGCCGAGCAGACGCCCCAGCTTGCCCTTCACACCGGCCTGAGGGAAAGAAGGAGATTGAGAGACTTTAAAGAAAACTGCAGAGCTTTGAAAGAGTTTTGAATGCATCTCAATAAAATTGGCCATGTGAAACAAAGTAATAAAAAGCAATGCTGAAACCCCTTTATGAAAAAATAAAAAAGGTGGACGCTGCACAGAACAATTCTACGAGTGAAAGAAGCTCAAGTCTGCCCCCACAAGCTCCAACCTCCAAGATTTACTGCTGACGCACAAGCAATCATCCAGCTGAGCTGCAGAATTAAAGCTCTGCACATTGGAAAAGATGTTGTTTGACTTAATTTTTATGTAAAAACTGTCACTAAAGCCTCAGTCGCTACTTGTCCGGCATGTTTATCATATCTTTCTCATTTGCTCTGTCCCTCCACCGGAATGAGTCATGAAGAGTGTCATTAAGGCAATTGTCTGTCTCTCATATCAGTTGTTTGACTCGTTTAGATGTACTTCACAGGACTTAAATGACTGTCAGGACATATGACATCTGTCCTTTCCCCTCCTCAGCATATTTCACAGCTCTCAGTCTGTCCACTGATGTTTCCAGTGACAGAGGGGGCTGGATCTGTGAATGCGCCGGAATCCAGCGAAGAGCCAAGTTTAGACCACCGACACAGCCAAGAACATGTGGTTCTCAACCGGCGGGATCCCTGAAATGCCATCGGCTCCTTTAGTTCCCCACATACCCACACTGCAGCCAAAGGCAGTTTTCTAACAATATTTTGAGTTTCAGCTCTCTAAAAACTATTGATGAGCTCATAAAGACCTGACAGAAATCATCTTAAGATGTAGTTTTCTGTTAGCTGTCTCTTGAAAATGCCCAACATTTCTATTAATGTTTCTGCAGTTTGAACTGTGACATTTGCAATAACTGAGTGACACTAGAAAAAGATGCTTTATGCTGCAAGAATTAGGGCTTTAAGCTCTGCTTTGTGTTTTCTGCCGTAACAGTTGCACAAAATAATCATTTCACTTTGGCTGACGTCATAAAAACTAACAAAGCCGCCGGTCGTCTTTACCTCCTCGAAAACCTCCCGCACGGCAGCTCCACAGGGCTCCTCCTCCGGTTCCATCCCTCCTCCGGGAACGATCCACTGGTCCGGGTGCCGACTGCTGCTGACCAGCAGAACCTGAGGGATGATCAAGGGATGATTGAGGTATGTTGACAATACAGACAGCGCCCTATTTTTGCCTCATATTATCATTCTAAGAATAGTTCACTTTGATATGCATGTGTACTTGACATTTCAAGTTGATGTTACCATTTAAAAGACAAAAAACTACTTTTTTTTCGCAGTCCAGTAATTAATATCAGCCCAAAACAACATGTCTCTGGGGAAAAACAGAAAGAACAGCACATGTAAGCCCAGCATGTGCTACAAAACCTCTGTCAGTATTCCCCCTAAGTGGCCTACAGGGGTTAGAATTACCCTACAGCTGCAATGTGCTCTGATATTTGCAGATCAGATGCACCCGTGTGTGCATTTTTTAAGCATGTCTCCATGTTAGCTATCAAAACAAGCGCGGGCGCACCTGCTGTGGACATCATCATATTAACAGGGAGCAATTTAATCACCGTAAGCCCACGGGACGGGGACCGGGCAGAGGTGGCAGCCCGCTGCCTGCCCGAAAAAAAAGAAAAGCGATAAAA